GGTTAATCCTCCTGTTATCACATTTGTATTCATGTCAGATTCTTTTAAAAGTTGTTGCTAAAGTTCTTTGGGAGTTTTCCCATATAAGACACACATTTTCAGAAGTTAGACACCCCCACCCATGTTTTGTTGGTTGGTTCCCTGCTTACAATAGTCACAAACTGCACAAATTTATTCAGCAAAAAAATTCAGATCTCTTCCTGACATCTGACTTTCAGATTAACCCAAGAGTCAAAGACTATTTATGTCAAAACCAGCCTGTGACTTGGAGTCTCCACTGGTTGCATGCAGTGGCGGATCTAGAAGGGTGGCATGGGGTGGAAAGTGCCACCCTAAGATGATCCCTTGCCACCCCAAGTGCCACCCCAGTTTTCCATATGACAGTTTTGTTTATTAAAATAAGATAGCATTAACAGTTTGAGCGTAGTTACAATCAACAGTTAATATAAATGCTAAAACTGAATATATTGCATAGTGTTTCCCCCCTCCATCATTAACAAATGGTTCAGCCCGGCTTTTTTCATCATAAGTGATGTTTATGATTGTGCCAGAGCACATTTTGAACAACACCATGGGTGGTTGGATGTTACAGTCTGGAAATGGAAGGAAGGTGAGTGTTATTAACCCTCTGTGGTCCACGGACACGCTGCACCTCCAAATCACATGACTGATGTAAGCTGACATAGCAACAAGCTGCAGCCACGCAGCGAGACAGAGAGAACGAGAGAGTTTTTAGATGTGGGAGATTTGTGACGTTTAGTGTGGAGTGTATAAGTGTGTTGTGTTGTCTTGTGTAGTTGTTCTGTTGTGTAGTCGTTTTGTTTTGTGTGTCAGTGAGGGCACTAATTAATGTCACTAAGGCACATTTGCAACGTAAACACTGTCACTAAGTAGAAAACCGCGGAGTGATACACCTCCTGTTGTCAGGCCTGCAGGTTTATCCCTGTGCTGTTCTCCTGTTTTTACTGGCACACATCATTTGTGGGGCATCTTATTGCAACACCTGATTGTTCTCTCATTTTAGTTTTAGTAATATTTTTAAATGGTTGTACAAAAAACAAAAACAAAAAGCGGCAGGTCTATTGGCTGCATTTTTAGATAAATAGTTGTATATGTTTACAAAATGTACAATTTATATTTGCATTTCAAGTTATAAAAATTTACTCAATATATTTGTGTGTTTTTTACAGTAAAGAAATACTACTAGGATTTTAAGTTCTTTGTGTGATTTCAGATCAGTAAAACTAATGCAGTATGTCAGTGAAAAAAACAGCTAAATTCAGTTGAGCTGAAAAGAAAGATACCAAACGAGGCAAGGGGAAAAAAATAAAATGAAACAATTTGAGGGTGAAATACAAACGTAAACTCAAAAGGAGTCAAAAATGGCCGGTTGTATTTCAGACCTCAGTGGGTTCATCCAACAAATCATGAAAAATTAGATTTTTGTTCATGACAGTGCAGATTTCTGACATTTTGTGTAATTTAAGCTGTAACAATGTGATTGTTTTCTAACAAAAAACAGCGTGAAATGTAAGTTAGACTTGTGTTTGTAAATGAACCGCCCCATGTTGTGTAGCTTTCTGGGTTTTATACTTATTGGGCTACATATTTATTTATTATACAGGCTATACAGAACATAAGATCAAAACTCACATGTTTTATGTAACTAAAGTGTGTAATTATGTGGGCTACTGACAATAATCAAGTTATAGACTATATTTATATGAAAAACGTGTATACTTACTGCATTTGAATTATTTTACCAATATGTAACCACCTGCATATGTGTTTGAAAAGAAAAAGGCTTTGATTTTGCCACCCCATTTGATTTCTTTGCCACCATAAGAAAATTTCTCTAGATCCGCCCCTGGTTGCATGGCAACTGCGAAGGTCAAGACCATGTCATAATTGCCCGTAAGGCACAATGTCATTTTCACATTTCGATTTTTTGGATGAGTTGCATCAATCTTATCCTGTAATCCTAGCAGATCCATTTAAGTCAGAAGACTGTTTCATGTCTTTCATTGCTGGCTTGAAGCAGGTGAGGCCGAGGCTGATGAAATATGATTAGGGTGACATGCACTTTATATATTCTCACCTACTTATTTGGTCATTAATCAGAAAAATCAACACACACAAAGAAGACGCAGCACCCACTCATTTACCTCGCTAAAATAGCTTTATAATAATCATATTAATAGTAATAATATTAGCCATTAGAAAATGTTTCGACAACGTTGACAGTGTTACATTCTGTGTTGGGGTAAACCACGTCACAGTGTGCCATC